GATGACGGGGAAGAAGTCATTACTACTCAAAGCAATGGTTTTAAATTTGTGGTCAAAATTAATACAGCTTTGGGACCCTTTGCAGTCGGAGTTGTCTTATCAATAATTACAGTTTTAATTGAGATTTTGCTTAATAGATGATGTCTTATTTGATTAATTCATCTTTAATAAAATACTAGATTTCATGTTCGTTTCATATTAAATTAAATTTTATTCACATCTATTTTAATTTTCCAATTAATGTTTTCTGTAATAAACAAATAATAAAACAATTATTTCAAATTACATTTGTTGTCAACAGTTTTCCACTCAATCTTCCATATCTGACCCACTTTTGCAGCATTCAAATCGATATTCACTGGAAATATAATGTAATCCTCTTTTACCACAACATTTTCAATTGCTTTTCCATCGAGTAATGCATTGATTTTGACGTTCAAAGTGTTGGCTATTAATACTTTTTCAATCAAATGAGGTTTACTTGAATTATAGCCTTTAGTTTTGACTCTTAATTGTAGTGAACAGTTAGCAAACAATTCAAATTCATAGAAATTATATTGTTTTGTCTCAATAGTGTTGAGAGAGTCTCCGTCGTCCCAAAACAGATCTCCCGTCGCCTTCTTGTCTTTGGGATAGACCTCCAGATTAATTGGTTTGTCTCTCAATACCTGTGTATTGACTGCTTTGTTGTAACCAATGGGCAGAATATTTCCACCCCTCAGATGTATGGGAGGAATGTATGGGAGGAATCTGTCTATTATTATCTGCAATCTTAACGAATCCGGTCTTTGGATAGAGTTTCACAAATTCATCGGTCGGTTCATACCAGACATCATTGGGAAGGTATGCATTCACTTCCTTTTGGTTCTGTTTATAATTATAATTATAATTAATAATTGAAAACATTATAATTTTATATGAAATAAAATCATGAATTACTTCGAAAAGGAAGGGAGAAAAGAGTACAACTGATCCCCACATAAACTGTTCGTCGATACTATGTGTTTGCGGATCAGTCGGGTATTCGTGAAACAGAGGTCTGACAACAGTGTTACCCAATACGTGTGCTTTGAAGAACAGGGTATATAAATAGGGAAGTAATTGGTATCTCAGATAAAGTGATTGTTTGGCCGCTTCGGTCACTTCCGGGTGTCCCCTATCAGCCCAAATAGCCGGGTCCT